AGACCATACCTAACACAACATGCCACCCAGCTCCTGGTGCAATCTACTGTCATCTCCCGCCTCGATTACTGCAATGCCCTTCTAACTGGTCTTCCAGGCTGTACTGTGAGACCTCTTCAAATGGTCCAGAACGCAGCGGCGCGTCTGGTCTTCAATCAGGCAAAAAGAGCACACGTCACCCCTCTGTTCATTGAGCTCCACTGGCTACCGCTAGCAGCACGCATCAAATTCAAACTGCTAACACTAGCATACAAAGTCCGAGATGGTACGGCTCCCATCTTCCTGAATCCTCTTGCAAAGGCTTACTTCTCGGCCCGGCCACTCCGGTCATCACAGGATCGTCGGCTAGCAGTGCCTACACCACGCTCAGGACAATCCAGACTCTTCTCATGCATCGTTCCACAAATGTGGAATGACCTTCCAAGCACTACCAGAACTGCGGCTTCCTTTTCAATTTTCAAGAAACTCCTGAAGACCCTGCTCTTCAGAGAGCATCTTCTAAACTAGCACCTTCCCTGCACCCGTCCCCCCTCTCTACTGTCCACTCCTTGTTCCCTACTCTCCATGATTGATGTCAAGTTGTTAATTTTGTTGTTAGCCTCAAGGGCAACATGCCGATTATCACTTGTAAGTCGCTTTGGACAAAAGCGTCTGCTAAATACATAAACATAAACATAAACATGTAATTTGACATATCATACCATTAAACACATTAATCATGAAGATGCAAAGAGTTAGAACACTGCATTGGGCTGCGTTCAAGCCACTGTTTTCTATTAAACATGCTGTTTAAAAACATTGTAGATATAAAACGTCACCTGGTTTGGCACAGTCCTTCGGAGGTGTGCCAGGTGGGGTCCTTGTCCCTGGTCTCTCCTGTCCACTCGGATCAACACACCAACAATGCCCAGTGGACCCAAAGCACTATAATATTAGTGAAGATGATTAGAAACATTGGTAACTGTCGTCAAATTAACAAAATACTCGAACACTTAATACCAACCTGTAGTGGTATGTACTGTCCTTTAGCATCACACTGGGGCACATAAGCTCCAGCTATGGGGTATCCCTCCGAACTGGTCGCCTCTGCCCGTTCCTTGTGCTGCTCACAGGACGTTTTGGGACGCTCTAGTGAACACAAATAGTTTCTAGTAATCGATTAATCAAGGAAATTACCCAAAGCACTATCTACATTTATGTGGAACTCAACATGTCCAAGCAGAATAGTCTTCTGTAAAGATCTCCTTACTTGAATTTGACTTACTCCAATATGCTGATGACATTCAATTATTATGCTACAGCACATCCGCTAGGATGCTAAGCTTGTTACCGCAGTTGCATCACAGTCCCACCTGATCTGCTGCAGTCTACACGTGATGTACCAGGTGGAGTCCTGGTTCCTGGTCTCTCCTGCCCCCTATCGTCCACACACCAACAGTGTCCTGTAGAACCATGGCACTGAAACAGGTGTGCTAAATTAGGTTGGTGTCATGACTTAAATTTTGAAGTTTAGTTTCTGAAAGTTACATGACACGTCTTGGTAAAATGTGGTCAACCTGTTGTGGTTGATAATGTCCATGTTCATCACACTGAGGAACGTATGTCCCCTCTATAGGATGTCCTCCTGGACTGGTGACTTGAACACGGTCTCTGTGCTGTTCACAGTGAGTCTTTGGATGCTCTGGGTAAGAATGAGACACCAACTATGAAGTAACATTATACCAAGTATGAAAGACATCAGCTAAAGCTTTAGAGAAGCAACTGTTGCTGCCCATGAAATCTGACATCCATAATTAATATTACAAGTAAAATTAAACATTATTTGGATCTCATCATTCTACAGAGGTAACTCTACAAGTTCCTAATGCCATATCTGGCATTGTTGCATTATCTTAAACTAGACATTTTTCATGCTATAGATCAGTGGTTCCCAACCTGGGGTCCCTAAAAGGTTGCACAATTTTGTGTGTGCTGAGGTTGGGAGGTTAATGAGATTATATTTGTAAAAATTACATTCATAAAATTCAGATAACACAACTAATAGTACAATCAAAACTCTGTGTAAGAGGCATAACTCTATGTCTGTATAAAGTTTGTAATAATTCATTTTTAATTGTGTGCATGCATGTAGGAGTTGGGGGTCTTGGCTTGTCTTGGACACAGGCAAAGGGTTCCTCGTGAAAAAACGTTGGGAATCACTGCCACGTAAAGATGTGTATTAGTGAAATTTTGGCGATACAGGGGAGACGATAACATGTATCACGATATATTGCGATACATTCAGTCAGACGTTATTAGCAATTTTCTTTGACTGAATTTATTGTGGGAATATTCAGTAAACAGTCCAAACGGATACTTAACATGTTTAACATGAGGTATCTGAACCATGATAGAGAGATTTACATTTCATTGGTGGAAACAAAACCCATTACACACTGCTGCCAACTAGCGGTCAGCGTTTGAACTGCACCAAAAGAAAAGAAAATACAAAAATTAGATACACAGCTTTACAATATCGATATACTATCATGGGAAAAAATATCATGATATATTGCCATATTGATATTTTCTTACATCCCTACTGCCATAGTTGGCCAGTTTGAAGACTCACCTGATCTTCTGCAGTCTACACGGAACACAACACAGCACAACTACATGGAATCATTATTCTACAGAGGTACAGAAAATATGTGGATTTATCCACTTCTTGTTCCAATATGCTGATGATATTAATCTATTGTGATAAAGAACATGTCCTCTAAGATGCTAAGCCTGCTACCAAAATAATACAACCTCACCTGGCCTTCTGCAGTCTACATGTGGTGTACCAGGTGGAGTCCTGGTTCCTGGTCTCTCCTGTCCCTTATCGTCCACACACCAACAATGACCAGTGGAACCATGACACTGAAACAGTTGTGGAAGATCAAGTTGGTATCAAGACTCAAACTCTAAAGTGTAGATTCATAAATTTTAAATTTGCTCCCTTGGTGAAATGTGCTCAACCTGTTGGGGTTGATAGTGTCCATGCTCATCACACTGAGGAATATGCGCCCCAACTATGGGATGTCCATCTGGACCAGTGTGCTGAACACGGTCTCTGTGCAATTCACAGTGAGTCTTTGGACGCTCTGTGTAAGAATCAGACACAAACTATGAAGTAATAATATACCAAGTGTGAAAAGCATCGGCTAAAGTTTTAGAGAAGCAACTGCTGACCATCAGTTTGGGAACCAATATTATAAGTCCAAGCAACTACATGGAATCATTATTCTACAGAGGTACAGAAAATATGTGGTTTTATCCACTTCTTGCTCCAATATGCTGATGATATTAAACTATTATGATAAAGAACATGTCCTCTAAGATGCTAAGCCTGCTACCAAAATAATACAACTTCACCTGGCCTTCTGCAGTCTACACGTGGTGTACCAGGTGGAGTCCTGGTTCCTGGTCTCTCCTGTCCCCTATCGTCCACACACCAACAGTGTCCTGTAGAACCATGGCACTGAAACAGGTGTGCTAAATTAGGTTGGTGTCATGACTTAAATTTTGAAGTTTAGTTTCTTAAAGTTACATGAGACGTCTTGGTAAAATGTGGTCAACCTGTTGTGGTTGATAATGTCCATGTTCATCACACTGAGGAACGTATGCCCCCTCTATAGGATGTCCTCCTGGACTGGTGACTTGAACACGGTCTCTGTGCTGTTCACAGTGAGTCTTTGGATGCTCTGGGTAAGAATGAGACACCAGCTATGAAGTAACATTATACCAAGTATGAAAGACATCAGCTAAAGCTTTAGAGAAGCAACTGTTGCTGCCCATGAAATCTGACATCCATAATTAATATTACAAGTAAAGTTAAACATTATTTGGATCTCATCATTCTACAGAGGTAACTCTACAATTTCCTAATGCCATGTCTGGCATTGTTGCATTATCCTAAACTAGACATTTTTCATGCTATAGATCAGTGGTTCCCAACCTGGGGTCCCTAAAAGGTTGCACAATTTTGTGTGTGCTGAGGTTGGGAGGTTAATGAGATTATATTTGTAAAAATTACATTCATGAAATTCAGATAACACACCTAATAGTAGAATCAAAACTCTGTGTAAGAGGCATAACTCTATGTCTGTATAAAGTTTGTAATAATTCATTTTTAATTGTGTGCATGCATGTAGGAGTTGGGGGTCTTGGCTTGTCTTGGACACAGGCAAAGGGTTCCTCGTGAAAAAAGGTTGGGAATCACTGCCACGTAAAGATGTGTATTAGTGAAATTTTGGCGATACAGGGGAGACGATAAATCGTATCACGATATATTGCGATACATTCAGTCAGACGTTATTAGCGATTTTCTTAGACTGAATTTATTGTGGGAATATTCAATAAACAGTCCAAACGGATACTTAACATGTTTAACATGAGGTATCTGAACCGTGATAGAGGGATTTACATTTCATTGGTGGAAACAAAACCCATTACACACTGCTGCCAACTAGCGGTCAGCGTTTGAACTGCACCAAAAGAAAAGAAAATACAAAAATTAGATACACAGCTTTACAATATCGATATACTATCATGGGAAAAAATATCATGATATATTGCCATATTGATATTTTCTTACATCCCTACTGCCATAGTTGGCCAGTTTGAAGACTCACCTGATCTTCTGCAGTCTACACGGAACACAACACAGCACAACTACATGGAATCATTATTCTACAGAGGTACAGAAAATATGTGGATTTATCCACTTCTTGTTCCAATATGCTGATGATATTAATCTATTGTGATAAAGAACATGTCCTCTAAGATGCTAAGCCTGCTACCAAATACAACCTCACCTGGCCTTCTGCAGTCTACATGTGGTGTACCAGGTGGAGTCCTGGTTCCTGGTCTCTCCTGTCCCTTATCGTCCACACACCAACAATGACCAGTAGAACCGTGACACTGAAACAGTTGTGGAAGATCAAGTTGGTATCAAGACTCAAACTCTAAAGTGTAGATTCATAAATTTTAAATTTGCTCCCTTGGTGAAATGTGCTCAACCTGTTGGGGTTGATAGTGTCCATGCTCATCACACTGAGGAATATGCGCCCCAACTATGGGATGTCCATCTGGACCAGTGTGCTGAACACGGTCTCTGTGCAACTCACAGTGAGTCTTTGGACGATCTGTGTAAGAATCAGACACAAACTATGAAGTAACAATATACCAAGTGTGAAAAGCATCGGCTAAAGCTTTAGAGAAGCAACTGCTGACCATCAGTTTGGGAAACAATATTATAAGTCCAAGCAACTACATGGAATCATTATTCTAAAGAGGTACAGAAAATCTGTGGTTCTATCCACTTCTTGCTCCAATATGCTGATGATATTTAACTATTATGATAAAGTACATATCCTCTAAGATGCTAAGCTTAGAATATATTATTCCAAAATAATACAACCTCACCTGGCCTTCTGCAGTCTACATGTGGTGTACCAGGTGGAGTCCTGGTTCCTGGTCTCTCATGTCCCTTATCGTCCACACACCAACAATGACCAGTGGAACCGTGGCACTGAAACAGTTGTGGAAGATCAAGTTGGTATCAAGACTCAAACTCTAAAGTGTAGATTCATAAATTTTAAATTTGCTCCCTTGGTGAAATGTGCTCAACCTGTTGTGGTTGATAGTGTCCATGCTCATCACACTGAGGAATATGCGCCCCAACTATGGGATGTCCATCTGGACCAGTGTGCTGAACACGGTCTCTGTGCAATTCACAGTGAGTCTTTGGACGCTCTGTGTAAGAATCAGACACAAACTATGAAGTAATAATATACCAAGTGTGAAAAGCATCGGCTAAAGTTTTAGAGAAGCAACTGCTGACCATCAGTTTGGGAACCAATATTATAAGTCCAAGCAACTACATGGAATCATTATTCTACAGAGGTACAGAAAATATGTGGTTTTATCCACTTCTTGCTCCAATATGCTGATGATATTAAACTATTATGATAAAGAACATGTCCTCTAAGATGCTAAGCCTGCTACCAAAATAATACAACTTCACCTGGCCTTCTGCAGTCTACACGTGGTGTACCAGGTGGAGTCCTGGTTCCTGGTCTCTCCTGTCCCCTATCGTCCACACACCAACAATGTCCTGTAGAACCATGGCACTGAAACAGGTGTGCTAAATTAGGTTGGTGTCATGACTTAAATTTTGAAGTTTAGTTTCTTAAAGTTACATGAGACGTCTTGGTAAAATGTGGTCAACCTGTTGTGGTTGATAATGTCCATGTTCATCACACTGAGGAACGTATGCCCCCTCTATAGGATGTCCTCCTGGACTGGTGACTTGAACACGGTCTCTGTGCTGTTCACAGTGAGTCTTTGGATGCTCTGGGTAAGAATGAGACACCAGCTATGAAGTAACATTATACCAAGTATGAAAGACATCAGCTAAAGCTTTAGAGAAGCAACTGTTGCTGCCCATGAAATCTGACATCCATAATTAATATTACAAGTAAAGTTAAACATTATTTGGATCTCATCATTCTACAGAGGTAACTCTACAATTTCCTAATGCCATGTCTGGCATTGTTGCATTATCCTAAACTAGACATTTTTCATGCTATAGATCAGTGGTTCCCAACCTGGGGTCCCTAAAAGGTTGCACAATTTTGTGTGTGCTGAGGTTGGGAGGTTAATGAGATTATATTTGTAAAAATTACATTCATGAAATTCAGATAACACACCTAATAGTAGAATCAAAACTCTGTGTAAGAGGCATAACTCTATGTCTGTATAAAGTTTGTAATAATTCATTTTTAATTGTGTGCATGCATGTAGGAGTTGGGGGTCTTGGCTTGTCTTGGACACAGGCAAAGGGTTCCTTGTGAAAAAACGTTGGGAATCACTGCCACGTAAAGATGTGTATTAGTGAAATTTTGGCGATACAGGGGAGACGATAAAACGTATCACGATATATTGCGATACATTCAGTCAGACGTTATTAGCGATTTTCTTAGACTGAATTTATTGTGGGAATATTCAATAAACAGTCCAAACGGATACTTAACATGTTTAACATGAGGTATCTGAACCGTGATAGAGGGATTTACATTTCAATGGTGGAAACAAAACCCATTACACACTGCTGCCAACTAGCGGTCAGCGTTTGAACTGCACCAAAAGAAAAGAAAATACAAAAATTAGATACACGGCTTTACAATATTGATATACTATCATGGGAAAAAACATCATGATATATTGCCATATTGATATTTTCTTACATCCCTACTGCCATAGTTGGCCTGTTTGAAGACTCACCTGATCTTCTGCAGTCTACACGGAACACAACACAGCACAACTACATGGAATCATTATTCTACAGAGGTACAGAAAATCTGTGGATTTATCCACTTCTTGCTACAATATGCTGATGATATTAAACTGTTATGATAAAGAACATGTCTTCTAAGATGCTAAGCCTGCTACCAAAATAATACAACCTCACCTGGCCTTCTGCAGTCTACATGTGGTGTACCAGGTGGAGTCCTGGTTCCTGGTCTCTCCTGTCCCCTATCGTCCACACACCAACAATGACCAGTAGAACCGTGACACTGAAACAGTATTGGAAGATCAAGTTGGTATCATGACTCAAACTCTAAAGTGTAGATTCATAAATTTTAAATTTGCTCCCTTGGTGAAATGTGCTCAACCTGTTGCGGTTGATAGTGTCCATGCTCATCACACTGAGGAATATGCGCCCCAACTATGGGATGTCCATCTGGACCAGTGTGCTGAACACGGTCTCTGTGCAACTCACAGTGAGTCTTTGGACGCTCTGTGTAAGAATCAGACACAAACTATGAAGTAACAATATACCAAGTGTGAAAAGCATCAGCTAAAGATTTAGAGAAGCAACTGCTGACCATCAGTTTGGGAAACAATATTATAAGCAACTACATGGAATCATTATTCTAAAGAGGTACAGAAAATATGTGGTTCTATCCACTTCTTGCTCCAGTATGCTGATGATATTAAACTATAATGATAAAGTACATATCCTCTAAGATGCTAAGCTTAGAAGATATTATTCCAAGATAATACAACCTCACCTGGCCTTCTGCAGTCTACATGTGGTGTACCAGGCGAAGTCCTGGTTCCTGGTCTCTCCTGTCCCTTATCATCCACACACCAACAATGACCAGTGGAACCGTGGCACTGAAACAGTTGTGGAAGATCAAGTTGGTATCATGACTCAAACTCTGAAGTTTTGTTAGTGAAATGTGCTCAACCTGTTGCGGTTGATAGTGTCCATGCTCATCACACTGAGGAATGTGCGCCCCAACTATGGGATGTCCATCTGGACCAGTTTGCTGAACACGGTCTCTGTGCAATTCACAGTGAGTCTTTGGACGCTCTGTGTAAGAATCAGACACAAACTATGAAGTAACAATATACCAAGTGTGAAAAGCATCAGATGTGGCATGTTTCGCAACTTTTTACTGATTCCCAAATTCATTCCTGGTATGGTTTTATTATCCTTCTTCTAGATAAACTTAGATTTTTGCATCTAGATCATAAGTATTGGCCGGTTTGTAGACTTACTTGGTCTTCTGCAGTCTACATGTGGTGTACCAGGAGGAGTCCTGGTTCCTGGTCTCTCCTGTCCCTTATCGTCCACACACCAACAATGACCAGTAGAACCGTGGCACTGAAACCGTGATAAAATGGTTATAACTGATGTTTTGGACGTTTAAGGATTCATCTAGAAACACAATAAAAGTCTCACCTGCTGTGCTTTATAGTGTCCATGTTCATCACACTGAGGAACATAAGCTCCTACTAGAGGATGTCCATCTGGACTGGTGGTCTGAACACTGTCTCTGTGGTGCTCACAGTGAGTCTTTGGGCGCTGAGGGTCATCTGGTTGACAATGGGTTAGTCAGTTAATTAGGAAACATAAGTGTTTCTTTCAGATGCTCCAAAATTGTCATAGTTTATGTGGACAAATTGTTCAATTTAGCCCGAATTTTTAAACCTCAGCTGGTCTTCATTTTGCTTCCTAGACATTGTTGGTAGGTCTTAAATAGAACCTTGTTCTCAAAAGTGTCTGGTTCATCCTTCCATCTATCCTTAGAGAGCCACTTCTATTCCAAACCATTGATCCATGTCTATCACTAATTTTCTGTTCTGGACTCTGCGGAGGTTTCACTCTGTCTCCATCTCTCAAAATAATCCATCTTTGATGTGAAAAGGTAAGGATGAACCAGAAAAGAGCATACCACCAATTTAAACTTCTGCATCAATGTCTTTCAGTAAGACATTTTCAGGAAATGTCTTTATAACTGTATTTTGTTGATAAAACACCAAATTGTCTTCGTTTTGTAAAGAATGTGAAACTACAAGAAACCAACATCAGACTGCCAAAAAAGCACAACAGTTCTTCTATGTGAATATTTTTGAATGTTTTTACATAATCAGCAGCCATTGGCATTTGTTTAAATGTGGAATTCTTCTCTGTTTTGATAGTTTTTATGTAAATAAATCCATTCATTCCAGGGTTTCCCTTACATAGGCGTAGCCGTGGCGGGCCACCACGGCTGACATCCCACCGCCACGCCTACAAGATCCCAAGTTTTTTGGGTTTTTTTGCGCAGTTTCCCGAAGAAGCAGCAGGAACTACTATGTTGTCGCTTGTGATCACAGCCGGCGGCAGCAAGGAGGAGCAGGCAGGGCACGGTGAAGTTACAGCATAAGTTACTGAGTTTAAAATTAGAAAGGGAGCAGTGGATATAATACTTTTTGATTTACATGTTGCATTAAGATAAATGAGTGTTGACGATCTTGACAGGGTTTCCTCCAGTGCTTACTAGGCCAGGTTCTCCTCCCCCCACCAGGCTAAGCATCACTTATTCATGTAAAATTTATTTATTTTTTCGTGTCCGACTTTAACCGCATCTAATACTGTATTACGGCGTGAGCGCAACAGCGACAACTTAAGATCCATGTGTGAGCAGCCTGAGAGGTCGGGTGTTTCATCTGAACCCTTAAAACCTCCGGCAGGCTACGCTGCACTATTGACGTGTTAGCACACTGCGCTAACAACTTAGCGACGTGACATGTCTCGGAGAACGCGTAAAAACACGTTGGACGCTTCTTCTGAAGCGGGAAAATAACGCTTCTTAAGCAGAGCACGACGTCGCCTCGGCTCTTTCACCCTCTGCCAAGCCGGACTGAGCTCGATAACATTGATATTTTCAGCACCAAAACAATGAAGCAAAGAAACAGATGCCTGAGTTTGTTAGTCACTTTATTTATTAGGTGCATCTAACCTGTTCTATTTTTCTCTGAAATGAGATCAAATCAGTGCTTCTATGGGTTGTCTCCTCTCTGCACTAGAAAATTTTACTTTATTTAGAGACGTGTCATAATTTCTCCCCAAGCCCCCCACCCCCCACCCCCACCCCCACCCACCGCCACAGCTGGAAAAATTCCTAGGGGGAACACTGCATTCATTCAAAATGTTGCGTTTTAACTTTTATTTTGCCGCATTTAATCAAAATCAAGAGCTGCTGAGGCTCTCCATTTTATCAGCTGATATTTTTGTTTTTTTTATGTTTCCTTTGGCAAGACAAACATATTTTCCCCAAATAGTGTTTGTTTTTGGACTACAGGACTACAACCACAAATTTGTTCAGACCAGTCCAAATTTTCAGTGTCAACGTGCTAACGTAACTTTTACGAACGTGATATCGTAACTTCAATAAGTCCTACGTTCAGCCAATCATATAGTAGGGTTGTCACGGTAACCGGTATAGCGGTAAACCCCGGTAAAAAAGTTGACAATAAAAATAACCGTCCAGTTTTTAATAAACTAAATTATCTCGGTGGGTTTACCGTGGCCGCGGTTTCGGCGCGGTGACCCTTACCAGTCACTGTCGCTTCAGCTGAAGTTCCCACGGCGCGCACACGCACTTTTTAAATTGCAACGGCACCAAAACTTTGAAGCTGAAATAATGGCGGAAGGAGGAGACGGCAGCGCCCAGGACATCCATCAGCCCTCAAAGAAGACTAAATCGGAAATATGGGCATATTTTGGATTTCTGAAAAATGCTGAGGGACAGAACGGTTCGAAGGATCTTTCATGGCGGTTAAAACGAAGAGTCGGAGTACCCGGCCCGGAGGGTTACCGGGGTCCCACCCTGGAGCCAGGCCTGGGGTTGGGGCCCGTGAGCGAGCGCCTGGTGGCCGGGCTTTCGCCCATGGGGCCCGGCCGGGCCCAGCCCGAACCGGATACATGGGCTCGTCCAACTGTGGACCCACCACTCGCAGGAGGAACATGAAGGGTCCGGTGCAATGCGAATCGGGTGGCAGACCAAGGCGGGAGCCTTGGCGGTCCAATCCCCGGACAAGAAAACTAGTTTTTGGGACATGGAACGTCACCTCGCTGGCGGGGAAGGAGCCGGAGCTTGTGGCAGAGGTTGAGCGGTACCGGCTAGATATAGTCGGACTCACCTCGACACATTGCATTGGCTCTGGAACCCGAGACCTGGAGAGGGGTTGGACACTCTACTTTGCTGGAGTTGCTCCGGGTGAGAGGCGGAGGGCTGGGGTTGGCTTTTTGTTAGCCCCAAGACTCTCTGCCTGTGTGTTGGGGTTTACCCCGGGGGACAAGAGGGTAGCTTCCTTGCGCCTTCGGGTCGGGGAACGGGTCCTGACTGTTGTTTGTGCTTATGGGCCAAATATCAGTTCAGAGTACCCACCCTTTTTGGAGTCCCTGGGACGAGTGCTAGATAGTGCTCCAACAGGGGACTCCATTGTCCTGCTGGGGGACTTCAATGCTCACGTGGGCAATGACAGCTTGACCTGGAGGGGTGTGATTGGGAGGAACGGCCCACCTAATCTGAACTCGAGCGGTGTTTTGTTATTGGACTTCTGTGCAAGCCGCAGTTTGGCCATAACGAACACCATGTTCGAACATAAGGATGCCCACCGGTACACTTGGTACCAGGGCAGCCTAGGTCACAGGTCGATGATAGATTTTGTAGTCGTATCATCGGACCTGCGGCCGTATGTTTTGGACACCCGAGTGAAGAGAGGGGCGGAGCTGTCAACTGATCACCACCTGGTGGTGAGTTGGATCAGATGGCAAGGGAACATGCCGCGTAGACCTGGCAGACCCAAACGCATAGTGAGGGTCTGCTGGGAACGCCTGGCAGAAGAACCTGTCAAGACGGTCTTCAACTCCCACCTCCGGCAGAGCTTTGACCACGTCCCGAGAGCAGTGGGGGACATTGAGTCCGAGTGGGCCTTGTTCCACTCTGCGATTGTTGAGGCGGCTGTTGCTAGCTGTGGTCGTAAGGTGGCCGGTGCCAGTCGTGGTGGCAACCCCCGTACCCGCTGGTGGACACCAGAGGTTCGGGGAGCCGTCAGGCTGAAGAAGGAGGCCTACAGGGCGTGGCTGGTCTGTGGGTCTCCGGAGGCAGCAGACAGGTACCGGATAGCCAAGCGGGGTGCAGCAGTGGCAGTTGCCGAGGCAAAATCTCGGGCGTGGGAGGAGTTTGGTGAGGCCATGGAGAAAGACTATCAATCGGCTCCAAAGAGGTTCTGGCAAACTGTCCGGCGCCTCAGGAGAGGAAGGCAGCAACTCGCTCACACTGTTTACAGTGGGGATGGGGAGCTGCTGACGTCAACTGAGGCTATAGTCGGACGGTGGAAGGAATACTTTGAGGAGCTCCTCAATCCCACCAATGCGCATTCCGAGGAGGAACCAGAGCTGGGAGGCCTGGGGATGGACTGTCCGATCTCGGGGGCAGAAGTTGCTGAGGTAGTCAAACAACTACACAGCGGCGGAGCCCCGGGGGCGGATGAGGTTCGTCCTGGGTATCTCAAGGCTATGGATGTTGTAGGGCTGTCATGGTTGACACGTCTCTACAACATTGCGTGGTCATCGGGGGCAGTTCCTAGGGAGTGGCAGACCGGGGTGGTGGTCCCCATCTTTAAGAAGGGTGACCTGAGGGTGTGTTCCAACTATAGGGGGATCACACTCCTCAGCCTCCCTGGAAAGGTCTACGCCAAGGTACTGGAGAGGAGGGTCCGATCGATAGTTGAATCTCAGATAGAGGAGGAGCAATGTGGTTTTCGTCCTGGCCGTGGAACTGTGGACCAGCTCTATACCCTTGCAAGGGTGATGGAGGGGGCATGGGAGTTTGCCCAACCAATCCACATGTGCTTTGTGGATTTGGAGAAGGCTTATGACCGTGTCCCCAGGGACACCCTGTGGGGGACGCTCCAGGAGTATGGGGTGGGTGGCTTTCTGTTAAGGGCCATTCAGTCCCTTTACCAGAGGAGCGTGAGTTTGGTCCGCATAGCCGGTAGTAAGTCGGACCTGTTCCCAGTGAGGGTTGGACTCCGCCAGGGCTGCCCTTTGTCACCGGTTCTGTTCATCACTTTTATGGACAGAATTTCTAGACGCAGCCATGGTGTGGAGTGTGTCGAGTTTGGTGGCAGGAGAATCTCGTCTCTGCTTTTTGCGGATGATGTGGTCCTCCTAGCTTCATCCAGCTCTGATCTTCAGCTCTTGCTGGGTAGGTTCGCGGCCGAATGTGAAGCGGCTGGGATGAGGATCAGCACCTCCAAATCTGAGACCATGGTTCTCGACCGGAAAAGGGTGGCTTGCCACCTCCGGGTCGGGGGAGAGGTCCTACCTCAAGTGGAGGAGTTTAAGTATCTCGGGGTCTTGTTCACGAGTGAGGGTAGGAGGGATCGGGAGATCGACAGGCGGATTGGTTCGGCGTCTGCAGTGATGCGGACGCTGAGCCGATCTGTCGTGGGGAAGAGCGAGCTGAGCCAGAAGGCCAGGCTCTCGATTTACCGGTCGATCTACGTCCCAATCCTCACCTATGGTCATGAGCTTTGGGTAATGACAGAAAGAACGAGATCGCGGATACAAGCGGCCGAAATGAGTTTCCTCCGTAGGGTGGCCGGGCTCAGCCTTAGAGATAGGGTGAGGAGCTCGGACATTCGGGAGGGACTCTGAGTAGAACCGCTGCTCCTTCGGATCGAAAGGAGCCAGTTGAGGTGGTTTGGGCATCTGGTCAGGATGCCTCCTGGACGCCTCCCCGGGGAGGTGTTTCGGGCATGTCCTGCCGGCAGAAGGCCCCCGGGTCGACCCAGGACACGTTGGAGAGGTTACATCTCCAATCTGGTCCGGGAACGCCTTGGGGTCCTGCCGGAGGAGCTGGTGGACAAGGCCGGGGAGAGGACGGCCTGGAGCTCCCTAGTTGGGATGCTACCCCCGCGACCCGGACCCGGATAAGCGGAGGAAGACGAAGACGAAGCTGAGGGACAGTTAATAGAAGACTGATATCCCGTTTGCAGAACGTGCAGGAAACAAGTGTCTGCAGAAGGCAGCAACACTTCGAATCTAACGGCACATCTGAGTGACCATCACCCACGTCTCTACAGCCAGTGCAAGGTAGGCTAACATCAGCATTTTAGCTTAAATGCATGACGTGAGGACTTTTGGTTGAGGGAGAATGCAACGAGTCACTATAGACTGCAGCCGCAGCGTCCTCTGCCAGCATTTAAACCGTGTCACGGACACCCTGTTGCTGGATGAAGCATCTTATTTGTTGATGATGAAGAGAAATATACAATTAGTTCCTTGTCATTGATTTGTTTACTTATTCAATGCCATTTATAGTTGAACATTTGGATTTGATTACATAGTATAGTAGTTATTTTAGTAATTTGTTTAAAGTGGCCATTTATTTTAAATACATATTTTTTAAGGTTGACTTGTACAGTGCTCAAGTCAAGTGTGGACTGGAGTTTTAGATTTTCATTTTGATAATGAAGAAAACAAGTATATGAGAAAACAAGTGGTGTTTCTTTGATTTGTTTACATATTGTTTATGTTTTGAATGTTTGGATTTGTATAATTTAAACCTGCACTGACTACTGTAACATGTTCCAGAAAAAGAAGCTATTTGTTCCTTTACTTGTGAAAAGTTGCACTTTTGCTAAGACTTTGTGTTATTTTAGGTTTAATAAACAATATTAAACCTTTTCAAAACTATTTCAGTTTGTGTAGAACAGGACTATCAATGCTTTCTGAACATATGCAACACCGTTTAAAAAATACCGCGATAATACCGAAAACCGTGATAATTTTGGTCACAATAACCGTGAGGTTAAATTTTCATACCGTGACAACCCTATCATATAGTGTGACGTCATTGGCAGGCGCAGGGCCCCGAGCCGATCTGGCATGCCGAGCAGATCTGGTACCTACACCCTACATCTAACCACCCACTAGTTGACTTTAACCTCGCACTAGCTACGTTTACATGCGCCAAATTTCCCCTATCTGATTCAAATCTTGGTTGATCAGAAATCCCCAATCTCTGTTCACATGGACACTAACTGAAATGATCCGATCATGTCGTGAGTATACATTCACATAGCTTTCAATCAGATTAAATAGGTTGAACAGGCAAAGAGTTGTCTTTCCTGGAGGAAAATTTAAAAACAAACGCCATCTTGTCCGCAAGTCTTTTCCCTCGCATTTTATTTAGCTTTGTCTATTGACTTAGGTTTTTTTCCCATTACGGACCACTTCTGTTTACCTCCCGCCATGTTTTTGACTCGTCCTGAGCATTTGCAAAGGCGGAAAGACGTCACGCTGAAGTTGCACACATGCGCAGTGGATGTTATTTTACTCAACAATCCGAATGGGTGTGTACATGGATGTGAATCGGAACGATGATCGGAACAAAACCACCTCTCTCAATCGGAATGAAATTTCATTCCAATCAGGCCGAGTCAGCTCAGAATGTTGCAACTGACAAGTTTACTTGAAGAATCTTTGATCTGATGTTTTAACTTTAAAAGTGGGGGGGACCCAACTGGCATGAGAACCGGGGTGGTGGTGGTGGTGGGGGTGTGTCTCTATAGTAAATTCTAATGGGAAACGAGCTTCAAAGCAAACGGTTGTTTTCCATTTTGTCCGAGTGCTCAACCAGTGTCCGTTTCATTTAGTGTAATATTGCTTTTGGACCACAAAAAGTGCAGGGGTCAAAATTTGACTTAGGAAAAGGGGGGGGGGGGGGCATGCACCCAACTCATAAATTGTATTTAGATACATGAATATACAGAGAAAAACATCAACCACACAGACATTTTTTCCTCTATTAGGGTCCTTCCCAGTCCCAAACATCTTTCAACAACTCACAACTCTATGTCCCCTTTAAAAGTTCTCCTTGTTTTAAGGCTTTTACACAGTTTAGATAATGCTTCCTTGATCTTCACTAGTTGCACTCACTGGGGATGAGTAAAAATGTTTACTTTCACCAGATGCTTTTAGCACTAAAGTTCACCTGGTAGACAGCTGTACACATTTGTCATTTCAGGTCCAGTGGCAAAGCCAAAAACATCCTGCTGTAGCCTGTTTGTTCAAACTGGACTCGTTACCCCCCATTGGGATATTGTTGGTTGGTGGCAAAGTTAGAATACCTTGCTCACTGTGAAGGCAATTGCCAGGGTACTACGTTAGTCAATACAATGGTTTTCTTCTGTGTTTTCCATGCCCCTGAGGCATTCTCTTGAACCCCACCATGTTCTACACTTATCAGCACCTTCCCATGATGATCCTACTACATACTTTCACAACCATACAAAACTTGGATGCACCATCTTGGCAAGACTTGCTCAGAATGCAGAAAGATAAAGATAAGAGTGAGAAGATTGTGTCAAAAAAGCTTGATTACATGACGGAGTCATGGCTTGGATAAGAGACATGCATGACAAGATGCTATAAATTCTCAAATTACATGAGTTTGTGCAATTCCATTGCCATGCTGAAAACGAAATACCACAGCCTCACTATGGCAAACTGTCCAAAGACCTCATTAATACTTTGCAAACATCAACAACATTCTCGTTGATTTATTTTGTTGTAGCAAAATCTATAGAACCTCCCTCAAGAAATATGGTCCCAACGCAGCCTCTGCGGTGCTCACATGGAGCCTTAGGATGCTGAGGATAATCGGGTTGACAGTGGATCACACAAATTATTAGGAAAGGTAAGTGCAGTCAACAAAACATGGATGAGTCAAGATACTTCCACAAAACTTCCTTGTTTCAAAAGCATGACGTTCAATAGTGGGAAGTTCAATGACGTTATAATGTCAAATGATAAGACAAAAATGCACAAGAAAACTGTTAGATACCTTAAACTTCCATCTCGAGCTGTTTAGGCTTCAGATAGCAAGAATGAAGTTGGGAAAACTACACTTAAGACTGAAAAAGTTAGGTTTGTTTGGAAGGGAAACAGACAAAAAATTAATTTATCTGAAGGAACAACTTCCTTTGTGCATATGAAACCAAAGTAGAGATAACTACCCATGCACAGTGACATATATGAAAATAAAACTGATTTAGCTGGTTTTATTCACTTCTTGCTCCAATATGCTGATGATATTAAAGTATTATGGTAAAGAACATGTCCTCTAAGATGCTATGCCTGCTACCAAAATAATACAACCTCACCTGGCCTTCTGCAGTCTACATGTGGTGTACCAGGTGGAGTCCTGGTTCCTGGTCTCTCCTGTCCCTTATCATCCACACACCAACAATGACCAGTAGAACCGTGGCACTGAAACAGTATTGGAAGATCAAGTTGGTATCATGACTCAAACTCTAAAATGTAGATTAAATTTTTTTTAATTAGCTCCCTTGGTGAAATGTGCTCAACCTGTTGCGATTGATAGTGTCCATGTTCGTCACACTGAGGAATATACGCCCCAACTATGGGATGTCCATCTGGACCAGTGTGTTGAACACGGTCTCTGTGCAATTCACAGTGAGTCTTTGGACGCTCTGTGTAAGAATCAGACACAAACTATGAAGTAACAATATACCAAGTGTGAAAATCATCGGCTAAAGCTTTAGAGAAGCAACTGTTGACCATCAGTTTGGGAACCAATATTATAAGTCCAAGCAACTACATGGAATCCTTATTCTACAGAGGTACAGAAAATATGTGGTTCTATCCACTTCTTGCTCCAATATGCTGATGATATTAAACTATTATGATAAAGAACATGTCCTCTAAGATGCTAAGCCTGCTACCAAAATAATACAACCTCACCTGGCCTTCTGCAGTCTACATGTGGTGTACCAGGTGGAGTCCTGGTTCCTGGTCTCTCCTGTCCCTTATCGTCCACACACCAACAATGACCAGTAGAACCGTGGCACTGAAACAGTATTGGAAGATCAAGTTGGTATCATGACTCAAACTCTGAAGTTTTGTTAGTGAAATGTGCTCAACCTGTTGTGGTTGATAGTGTCCATGCTCATCACACTGAGGAATATGCGCCCCAACTATAGGATGTCCATCTGGACCAGTGTGCTGAACACGGTCTCTGTGCAACTCACAGTGAGTCTTTGGACGCTCTGTGTAAGAATCAGACACAAACTATGAAGTAACAATATACCAAGTGTGAAAATCATCAGCTAAAGCTTTAGAGAAGCAACTGCTGACCATCAATTTGGGAACCAATATTATAAGTCCAAGCAACGACATGGAATCATTATTCTACAGAGGTACAGAATATCTGTGGTTTTATCCACTTCTTGCTCCAATATGCTGATGATATTAAACTATTATGATAAAGAACATGTCCTCTAAGATGCTAAGCCTGCAACCAAAGTAATACAACCTCACCTGGCCTTCTGCAGTCTACATGTGGTGTACCAGGTGGAGTCCTGGTTCCTGGTCTCTCCTGTCCTTTATCGTCCACACACCAACAATGACCAGTAGAACCGTGGCACTGAAACAATGAGAAAATAAGTTATGACAGATGTTCTGGCCAGTAAATGAATTCCTTATGAAACACAATAAAAGTCTCACCTGCTGTGGTTGATAGTGTCCATGTTCATCACACTGAGGAACATAAGCTCCTAGTAGAGGATGTCCATCTGGACTGGTGGTCTGAACACTGTCTCTGTGGCGCTCACAGTGAGTCTTTGGGCGGTCTGTACATTTTTAAGATTTACATTAACAAATGAAAACACTGAAACTTATATAATAGCTAAAATTATAGAAATGTAACAAAAAGTACACATTTATGAAGTTAAGTAAATATGAAACAAGCAATTATTCATCCTTAATAAAGGCATTAATGGGGTTTATCCTATGGTTTGGTAAAAATTTAATCCATCCATCCTGTTTGCCTATGTTTGGCTGAGGAACGAACAGATCAATAACAAAAATGAATGTACACTCCCTCCATTAAGGTACATGTCTATCTTGGTGTCATCCTTGAGGGCAGGGGCGGATTTTGGACTGAAAAAGATCCGGGGCTTAACACGTGCGCGCGCACATAAACACACACATAACACGCACTAGTCTTTTCATAAAACATTCGGGGCTTGAGCCCAAGTAGCCGGGCCTAACGCCGCCCCTGCTTGAGGGATGAGACTAGAGTACCTACAAATTAAATCATCTAGAAGACACTCTAATCAGATGCCCCACATCACTATAGACCATATGAATTTGACACTGAAGACCTTATGTCTTAGGTTAAGGTTAGTCACTCTATGTCTATGAAAAGCATGGGATAGACTGTAGATGGCCCCACAACTCAATAGCTCTTTTTGCTCAGGCCTTTTTCAAAATGACATTTGGGAAACGAGCCCTCAATGCTTAGAGATGAGGTTCACTGAGAAATGTATAGTACTTGCTCTTTTTGAAACACAAGTGGTACCTCTGCATTTCACATGCCCAGGTAAAAATGATCTTCAACATTCTTCAGATTGATGAGAGCAAAGGAAGAAAATGGCAGGCTACAGCTGAATATGAATTCAGCCATCATTAATCTCCTGTTAAAACCAGGCAGAGACCCTATATTTCCTACCAGCTATCGTCCCATATCCCTTATTAATGTTGGTCTCAAAACAATTTGTAAAGCCCTTGCAAAAAGAGTTGAGAAAGTAACCCCTTTCATAATTCATTCTGACCAAACTGGTTTCACACAGCAATGACATTTGTCCACAAATTCACTTAGATTACTTGATTTGATAAACTTTTCTTAGAGTAGAAACATTGACATTAGTATATTATCTCTTGATGCAGAAAAGGCTTTTGACAGAGTTAACTGGAAGTCCTTATTTGCAACTTTGCACAAATTTGGTTTTGGTTCCCTTCATAAACTGGTTAAAAACATTACACAGTTCGTCAACAGCAGGTGTTAGGACAAACAACCAAACATCAGCCATCTTCTGTCTTCAGAGTGGGACCAGACAGGGATGCCCACTCTCCCTTTTACTGTTTTCTATCTTTATGAACCAGTAGCAGCAGCAATCAGGCAAACTACACTTACTGAAGGTGAAGTAAGAACTATGAAGAAACCATAAAAAATGAAGGCAAGTGTGACACAGAACATCAAAACAATCTTTATGCAGATGATGTGTTACATTTTGTCCAGCATTGTCCCTCTCTCAAACAATCAAATTGACAAACTCTTTCTCAAGAGTTTCATATTATTCAATAAACTGGTTAAAATCTACAGTTCTCCCAATTAATTTTTCTTTTCTCAATTCCCTTATTACACAATTACAGTCAGGGAATATTACATACTTGGGCATTGATGTCTACCAGGCTGGTAGATTTAACAGAACTAAACTACATCCCACTTTTAAAGAAAGTGGAAGATGATCTTGCCAGATGGAAATCTCTACCGATATCACTCATTGGGAGGGTTGCCACAATTAAAATGATGGTTTTACCAAGAATCATTTGGTTATTCTCAATGATCCCAAACAAGCACGATCTGACTGGTTTAGGTCTCTGGACTCCTCCAGGACAAAATTCCTTTGGAAGGATAAACCTCCACGAATTAGCTTAAAAATGCTTCAGAAGACCAAAGATAGAGGAGGGCTGGATCTAGGAGTGTGAGTTGGCTGTCTGGTTGGGGTCTGGGGTAGTGGGTCGCTTTGCTGTGTGTTGGGCTTGTTTGCCTGTTCACTGTTACCTTACTAAGAATGAGACAATTTCCTGGGTCTAGAAATGGTTGCACCCTCTGTGCAGCAGTACCTGGGCAAAAGTGTGTGAGGTGCGTGGGGAATCTGATTGGGAGTTTGACATGCATTCTTGTTTGTTTTTATGTTGGTGTTTATGTGTGAGCATAAGAGTGGGAGAGTGTAACTGTATCTGGATGTCCGAGGCTTGGATCTCCTCCATGACATCCAGGGGTCTTCGTTGGAAGGTCTGTGGCACCACACACTCACTATTGAACACTTCTGTAGAGAAACACTTGCAAACGTGTACGCACACAGGTACTCACATGGTGTTCTCACAAGTATGAACTCTGGTGTTTTTGACACATTACCTTGGGCTGTGGTTGGTGCTTAATGCACCATGAAATAATTATTACCATGTGCTTTTCAGCAAATATTGTTACTGTTATTTATCCTTATGTTGTTCGGTGCAGTGACATAATGGTTCTGTTGTATTTATGTGTGTCATCTTTTTCTGGCTGCAGGTCTAGAAGCATTTTCTTGTAGATTCTTTATTGTTCATTTTTGTGAACTTGTTACCCCCAACCTCAGTGAATAAGACTGTAAGGCGTTTTTTGGACACTCGGACATCAATTCTGATTGCATTACAATAAGAAAGGACACAAGGGAAAAAAAAGGTCTTCAATCACTATTTCATGTGTTAGACTTGGTCCAGGACTATGGGAGGTTGTATAGATTTTTGCAGCCAGGAGAGAGAAGAGTGGGTCTCGGCTAGTAGAAGCTAACTGTTAGCATTATCAAATCCACAACACAGCAGAACTCTTCAGGTGTGTTGACTCACAAGGTATTCATTTATCCAGTTTTCAGTAGTATTCATTTATACTAGAGACCACAGCAGAATTGTTGAAATAAAAAGCTAGGGCTGGGCGATAAGGCCTAAAATCAATATCACAATATATTGAGGATTTCACCCCGATAACGATAAATGGACGATAACTACAGGTATGCGCAGAGACAAAAGTAGTCCACTAGATGGGGCTGTCAGATGTATTACATTGAGTCACATTTTTACGTGACTCAAGGTGGCACCGCTTCTTAACGGGACATGAATGTTGCCAACCTACACATCTTTTCATGTTTTTATTATCAAATTTATTAGCATGGGAAACATTATCTCGATAAGAGTCACGAATTTCAATAACGATATATTTTCGATATATCTCCCAGCCCTATAAGAAGCATAGGCCCACTTTAAGTCTAAACTGTCAGTGCATCTCATTTTGTATCCTGCCATCACTTTTGACAGAGTTGGCAATCCCCTCTTTTTTAGTCAAGCACCACTGGCTTGAATTAGGAGGTTCTGACTCCCATCCCAGCCACTTCAGTTATCCAATCTAACAAGACCAAACAAGAGCCAATAGCAAAATGAGCTGTTTGTCTTAACTACTCAACCAACAAGAGCATTTAACGAGATCCCATTTGAAATTAAACAAAAAGGGCTTTCCAAAAAAAGTGTTGTTACTTTTTAATCTTAAAAAAAAAACTGTAAACATTGTCTGACTAATATTCCATGCAGCAGGCTCTAACTTTAACTTCACTCTTATTTCATATTCTAACTCCTTTCCTTCATCCCCACCTGTTTCTCCACTCACTCCAACTCTATGACCCAATGACCTCGACTGAGCACAGCTCATGCTCCTAAACAAGCTGCCTGAGCAGACAGCCAGATGAGGAATTACAGGGTTCAAAGGTCAGAGATTAACAAGCAATCTTCAGAGAAACGTGACATAATCCACCTGCTGACACTGACCCTCCAGAGTGGAATGCAAAGCTGACAGACAGAAAAAAATCTATTTGCTTATCTGCTTCTGCCTTACTCACCGGGTTTATCACAGTCCACATGTGGTGTACCAGGTGCAGTCCGGGTTCCCGGTCTCTCCTGTCCTCTACTGTCCACGCACCAACAATACCCAGTCGAACCAAGGCACTGAAAGTGTCATGAGAGATCCTGTAACTTCTTCATTTGAAATTAGAACACAGTAAAGAAGGTCTAAACAAAGCCTAACCTGTTGTGGTTTATAGTGTCCATGTTCATCACACTGAGGAGCATAAGCTCCTAGCAAAGGACGTCCATCTGGACTGGTGGTCTGAATACTGTCTCTGTGGTGCTCACAGTGAGTCTTGGGACGCTGAGGGTCGTCTAAAGGGACACAGTCAAGGTTTTACACTTTGATATCGTTTTTAATTGATGATTACTTTAAAGTAAAGCTTGTACCTGGTTTGTCACAATCTTTAGGAGTTGTACCAGGTGAAGTCCTGGTGCCTGGTCTCTCCTGTCCTCTGTCGTCCACACACCAACAATATCCGGTAGAACCGTGGCACTACAACAAATAATCAAATTTCAGAAACTGGAAATTGTTGAGCTCAAAGTTTTTTCATTGGTTTCTTCCTATTTTAACTTTTTACCATTTTCTTTACTTTCACTCCATTTAAAAACTGGACAAGCACCCCCTGGTGGCAGGCTGCAGCACTTGCCCCGCCCTTTTCACTCAAATGAACAAGTCAGTTTTCTGAAAAATCTCAACGTCTTTGAAAAAGTTTCCAGGGGTGGACTTTTTGTTGATTTGTGTATTTTTAAAATCCCAGTAGGATGTTTAAAGGGAACACATAATGTAAAATCCTTTTTATCATTTGATTTTATCTCCTCATGAAAAAAAAAAACAAAATTTCGGCAGTATTTATGCACATTTCTGTTTCAGCTGCAGATTTTGAGCTTTACTTTGAAAATCCTGTAAAGCATTAATGGAAACAAGTCTCGTCACCAGGCCCTGCTCCTCTCCTGGAAGCCAGTCTCCCTTGGTTGGCACAGGATATGGCTTAGGCAATTGGTGTCATGTAACAGACTTGGTAGTTTAGTGGTTAGAGTGCTGGGCTGGACACGTTTACCACTGGACCACCAAAGTCAACCCAGCAACTGACTTGTCTAAGGCGCTGTTTTAGGCACGTTTAGTCAGAGCGGTCGTGGGCGGAGTTTCACTGTAGCAAAGTCTTTTATTTCCGAGTATAAATTCAGGCTGACGAAAATAACTAGTATTTAAGATAAATGACGTTTAAAAAGCGCCAGTGGGAATATTTGATCATATACTGTGCCTACCTTTGTTCTCAAAGGTTTAAATAGCATAATATGCAACCTTTAAATCTAAATTAGTATTAATTATGTATTGGACTTGAGTCATGGGTAGGGCTTAGGGGTGCCTCACTTCAGTGGTTCTGCTCATACATGTCAAACAGAGTTTTCAAGGTTCAGTTGGGTAATTGTTCCTCTACATTCCTTCCACTTCCATGGGGAGTCCCGCAGGGATCTGTGCTTGGGCCTCTCCTGTTTTCAATTTACATCCTCCCCCTGGGTTTCATCCTGAGGAAATATGGCCTGGGCTATCATATTTATGCAGATGATTGCCAGATCTACCTGGCTTTGAACAAACCAGGCTCCCTCTTTCTTCTGGAACAATGTTTGGCTGAAGTGAGGGTTTGGCTTGCCAACAATTTCCTTAAGCTAAATGATTCTAAGTCTGAGGCACTCCTCATGACCCCTAACAAAACCACACACTTATCTTCTGATTTGGACACTCTCCCATATGACCTCAAGCAGTGTGCTACCAACCTGGGGGTGAAACTGGATACACACTTTTCCATGGGCCCTCAGATTAACTCAGTGGTCAGATCGTGTTTTTACCAGCTGCGCAGACTAGTTAGCTTAAAACCGATCCGTAAACAAGCACACCTGGAATCCGTAATTCATGCTTTTATCATCTCCCGACTGGATTACGCAAATTCCATTTTAATTGGTTTACCTGGCTCCGCTCTTAACAGGCTTCAGGTCGTACAAAACGCGGCAGCCAGGTTTTTAACAAACACCCCTAGAAGAGACCATATCACACCTGTACTGGCGCGGCTCCACTGGCTACCCGTAAACTTCAGAGTCAAGTTTAAAATCCTGACTTTTGTTTTTAAGGCCCTGAACGGTCTGGCTCCAGAATACCTGTCTGATCTTGTCACTCGTTATGTGCCAAACCGGGCGTTGAGGTCTGCTGATTTCCTGCTGCTTCGCGTTCCAACAATGAAATACAAAACGTGAGGGCAGCGTGCTTTTGTCTATGCTGCTCCGACACTCTGGAATGCTCTTCCTCTTTCAGTGAGGCTAGCACCATCCCTCCTGCATTTCAAGTCGCTACTTAAGGCTCACTTTTACAACCAGGCATTTTTAAATCTCTGACTTTTATTATTTTACTATGTGTCTTTTTATTGACTGTGATTATCTGCCTTGTTGTCTATTTTATTGTTGACCGTGTATTGTTTTATATTGTGTTTTTACTTTTTATTCTGTACAGCACTTTGGTCGGCTGCCATGCCGTTTTTAAATGTGCTTTATAAATAACGTATGGTATGGTATGGTATTAGGTGCTTGAAATAACACAAATAAGTACAAAAGGGTCGTTTGTAGCATCATGGCTGCACAGGAACAGGCCCTCTACACCAGAGCAACAGAGGCTAAGATCTACTGCACCAGACCCAAGGTGTAGGCTATGCAAAGAGGCTCCTGAGATAATCTACCACATAACTGCAGGATTTGAAATGCTGGTAAAGAAAGAATACATGGAACGCCACAACCAAGTGGCTGGCATGGTGTACAGGAACATCTGTGTAGAGAACCCACCTGAAGGGATCGGTACCGTCCGTCAGAGTCACACTGAGGGATGTGAGCTCCAACACCATGTCCTCCGCTCTGCAGACTGTCCCTGTGTTGCTCACACTGGCTCTTTGGGCGACCTGTGGATGAATCAGAACACAATCGGTCATCCTTGACTTTGTTTTTTTCAACCAGACTGCTACTACGTTTTCTGACCTTCCTGCAGGGCGCAGTAGAAACCGTCTCCATGAAATCCAGGCTGGCAATGACAGCGAAAGGATCCCAGGTCATTGATACATCTGGCGTTGATGTGGCATGGGGAAGAGCTGCACTCATCGATGTCTACAAAAAAGTTATAAACATCTCAAAAAATTGCTTTAATAACAGTTTAGAAGCTAAATGCCCAATAATTAATAATTCCCTTCAGAGGGGTTTTAGATATAAAGAGCTCTATTTATCAAAGAAGGAGGTAGGGAGGGTTCAGTGGAGGTTCGTCCAAAGTTCACGGTGATGGGTGAACAGAGGACACACATCAAGACACGGGACCTCGCTCCTCCACACATTCCAAAGCATCGAACACAATGTGGCATTAGCTCCATTCGTCTTTCCCTTCAGCGCCCATCCTTTTCACACCACTCCTGTTCGCCTATCTCTCCTCCCCTTTCTGTGTGTTTGCAGCTGTGCACGGCTGTTGTGAAAGAAAGCTCGTGACTAAACTCAGACAAAAAGCAGGACGTTTTCATTTTCCAAACATTTCTGTTCAGTTAGGAACACGGAGCACCACATGGTCCAAAGCAGCAAAATAAGAGCCAAACGATGGAAAATTATTTTGTTTTTTTGATTGTTCTAAAGACTTAGTTTCAGACTTATATACTGCTGACACGTTCTTTTTTCCCTATATAATAACAAACTCAACAGCTCTTTGAATGACCTCAGTTTGGAGAAATAGATTAGTCTTCACTGCATTAAGATGCTAACAGCTGGCCCAAAGTGGAATGCTGCCAATCCAGAAATTGTATAGTAGTTCTGAAAACCCAGTTTTATGAACATCCATCCATCCATCCATCCATCCATCCATCCGTCCATCCGTCCATCCATCCATCCATCCATTCATTTTTTTCCTCTTATCCGGAGTCGGGTCACGGGGTCAGCAGCCTAAGTCAAGAGGCCCAGACTTCCCACTCCCCAGCCACTTGGGCCAGCTCCTCCGGGGGAATCCCAAGGTGTTCCCTGGCCAGGCGAGAGACATAGTCCCTCCAACGTGTCCTGGGTCTTCCTTTAGGCCTCCACCCCAATTGGACGTGCCCGGAAAACCTCACCAGGGAGGCATCCAGGAGGTATCTTGACCAGATGGCTACTCTCGATGTGGAGGAGCAGCGAATCTACACCGAGCCCCTCCCAGCTGACCGAGCTTCTCACCCTATCTCTAAGGGAGAGCCCAGCCGCTCTGCGGAGAAAATTCATTTTGGGCCGCTTGTATCCTCGATCTTCGTTCTTTCAGTCACTACCCAAAGCTCGTGAACATAGGTGAGGATAGGAACGTAGATCGACCAGTAAATCGAGAGCTTTGCCTTCCAGCTCAGCTCTCTCTTCACCACGACAGACCAGTACAACGCCCGCATCACTGCAGATGCAGCAGCAATCCGCCTATCGATCTCACGCTCCAGTTTTCCCTCACTCGTCAACAAGACCCTGAGATAATCAAACCCCTCCTCTTGGGGTAGGACCTCATCCCTGACCCGGAAAAGGCGTTCTACCCTTTTTCCAAATCAACACCATGGTCTCAGATTTAGAGGAGCTGATTCAACATGCAGTTATTTACATGAAATCCTATGGTTATTTACAAGCACAAAAAGCAGTGGAAGCTAACTTTTGCATTCATGCAATCATGTTTATGTTAGAATAACCCTGTTATATAAATGTGATGATGATGTAAAAAGTTATAAAAGAGTGTTTGCACGATATACTTTGATTTTTTTCTAAATGTTAGTTATTTTAAGACAGCAGCAATCTACTTTGGTCTTGGATTAGCCGTTAGCTTGTAAATTGGTTAGTTTCTCCAATTTGCGGTTGTCTAAAGAGCCACCCCTTTGTTTAAAGGAACCGGCTTCCAAATATATTTGCCTTTTTAGTTGTCAGTCAATCATTCGACGCCACTGTGTACGAAGAGCCTGATTTATACTTCTCCGTCTGCGTCGGTGCGGAGACATGCAACGCCATTATGCGTCGGCGCAAGCGCTGTCCGACGAGCTCTCAGAAGGTGATGGACACATGCCCAAAATTTTAAACATTCATTGAAATTGAAAGAGACAGCAAGCTTGTGATTGGTCAGGATGTTGCTTCCTGTGAATTCCTCACCAGCACCACCGTTGCCCCGTTAAAAAGTAAAAAGATATTTAGCGGTAGAACAGAACAGATTGAAGAACACATCGCGGAAAAAGTCCAAAAATATGAACATTTATTCACCCTCTCTTGTCCTGGCGGGGAATTGCTTCACAACACTCCGCTGCCTGAATAGAAGTTTGAATGTGAAAACCTTTCCGACACTCCATGTGCGTCTCTCCGTTGCGGAGCTCACAGAGAAGTATAAACCAGGCTGAACACCCAACGAAAGGCTTGATTAGACACCTTTACAATGGAGTATAACTTGTAAGGATTGTGCGTTTGCGCAGCAAAACGTGACCATATTGGTGACAAATCGAATAGAAAGTAACACTTGGCTCCTCCTCCTCATGCTGGTCACGTTGCCGTCGAACAAAATCCCATTCCTCAATCAGGAGTAATTGAGGGTAAACTCATGTTGTACACCAGCTGAAACGTGGCACTTGAAACTCAGAACAGGAGTGAACCCTTACAGGAGAGTAGTGTAGCATCACGAAGGTCCTCTAATTTGTGACAAGGGTCACATTTCCCAGCTAGGTCAAGCTGGGTCAGACTGTAACTTTTGGTTTCACAGATTAATCCAGGAGTCATGATGGCTGCTGAATTCAGTAATCCCTCGCTACTTCGCGGTTCGTTCATCGCGGATTCACTGCTTCGCGGATTTTTTCTTTGGAGCATTTTTCAGGGGGAATTCGCAGATTCGCGGTATTTTTCTATGCGAAATATCAAGAAATTCTTGTTTTTTTCATCAATTTCATCATAAAATGCACTTTTTGTAATAAAACTAAAAAAAAACAAGTAAAACATTTTTTTTCTTGAGTTTTACCCACAAAAAGAGAATGTGATCATACGATAATTCAATAGGGAGCGTGGTTTCACAGACGCGGAAGTGATTGCGTCGGTGAAACGCCGGCTGATCTAGGAAACCCCCGAGCGTTCGAGCGTCAACGAAGTGACACGGAAATGCCGGGCTTTCCAGAAGTAAGTAAGATAACTTACTATGAGCTGATAGTTCGTTGGATTGATCGGTAGGTTGGAAACTCTGATCATGAATCTGAAGAAACGATGACTGAGTGGTGAGCTGGAAAGGCGACTTCCGTTTATAGCCACGGTTTGTGACGTAGGTGCGACGTGGAGGGAATCCCCGCGAGGGGCATGCTGGGAGTCCCTACTTCGCGGATTTTCACCTATCGCGGCCAGGTCTGGAACGCATCTACCACGATAAACGAGGGATTACTGTATCATACTTATCTGCTGCTTTTCCGTTCCAGAAGAAGGACACTTCAAGTTTCACAATAAGAATTTAAATAATAATTTAAATAAACTCTTTGACTTTATTACTGTTTAATAAAATCATCATAAATAATCTCTTGGTTCAGTATAAATGTATTTTTAATTACTGAAATGACTTATTATGCTTTGGGTATAATAATGATTATGGTTGATGATCAGTAATGTGTGTTCAGAAAACCAAGAAGGTCAACTTCCACTTTATCCATCCAACACAGAGCTTATCCAGATTAAATGTAATCTGCCATCACATGTCTTTGACTCATGACCAAAGCTTTCTTGCTCTGAGAGTGGGCATGTTCTAAGGAGTTTGTTAAAACTAACTTTCCAGCAGCAAAACTTAAGTTCGCGAACCAACCACCATCACTGAGGATAAGGGAACGGCCGCCCTGAAGCCTCCACCTGCTGTTCTGTCACGCTGATAGAATAGCTTTGAATAAACGCACCTGTAACCAGCTGACGCAAAACTCCTTCAGAGTTATTGATTTTGAGCTAAATAAGACGCAAAACTCCTTCAGAGTTAAACCATACGCTCGACTGTGTACCCTGCGCCATCTTCGGACCAGAGAGTCGGTTCCTCGAGTCTCCTCTACCGGACCGAGTACCCGGAGGCTGACAACATCTTCCCTTGACCTCGGGATCCTCACGAAGGGTCATCTTGCTGGGTGAGGTAGCACACAGATTGTGTTTGATGCTGTTTCTCTAAATAACAACAGCTAAGCCGGGCGTACACTGTGCGACTTTTTCACTTTTTTGAGCCGATTTTCCAGTCGTGCGAGAATCCACGACATCGGGGCGAGTTTTGCGCCGAGCGGTCGTGTAGTGTACAGGGGGTTACGAGAGGCGATTAACACCACGTGACCAGCCGCCGATCAGCAGTCGTGAGGTTGCATGGACTTCTGGAGTGTTTAATATTTCGCTCGTCCCTCGTGAGGGTATCGCACTGTTGAAGCGGCGCTACGAGCAGTTGCGAGCAGCTACGATCCAAAAAAGTATCAGAACCGCTCACGGCGCATGCGCGCGCAATCCTGCATCAACGCCGGTCGCTCGCTATTTCCCTAATAACACACGCTATTCGTTTTTGTTTCTACACGATTTTTTTACTCACAAAGATTGTCAAGAAAGCGTGTTTGTCGTGTTCGTGTCAAATTAAACTGATCACAAAACACAGATTTACTTTCTTTATTTCATTTTCCTCATCCAACCCCCATAAATCCCTGTGTGTCCTCCTGCAGCACTCCCGAAGGACAACAGGCAAGACAAAAAAGTCTGACGTGTTGAGTAAAAACTGCTATTTTTAGCACATTTTTAGGGCCGACGTGTTGCTACCAGACGTACAGTGTGAGCAGTCAGGTCGCATGCGAGAACTGGGTCGTGCAGTGTGAGCACACGACTCGTGAGATCTGCCCTGCGAGGAAGTCGTACAGTTTGAGCTGAAGCTGAGTGCTACGAGTGAAAAAGTCGCACAGTGTACGCCCGGCTTTAGCTGCAAAACCATCATTTCCAACCCAGAACGCGCTTCTCTCTCTGAAAGAAACCTTCTGAGAACATTCACTCATCCAAAACTCTCATTTCATTTTAGCTTTCCATCCAGACACAGGTAAAGCCTTTAAAATAAGTTTTAATATCAAAGCTGGTAAATTGTCATCTATGAATTGTCAATTTTAATTGTCATTTAAATTGTCATTTCAAATTGTCAAGTTTAAATTTGTTAGTAATAAATTCTTCATTTTTAAATTTTGCCTCATTCTTTGAAATGAAACACAGAAGGTATAAATTTTTCTGGTTATTGAAAAAGCAAAGATTCCTAACTTTTGATTCAAAAATAAACTTTTGCTATTAAATTTAATTATCTTAAATTAAACATTAATCTTTGGATTAAATATAGACCAAACAGGTTGTGTATGAACTTCTATCGATTATATAAGTATCTTGGATATTTATACATGATATAAGCTTCATATGTTAATGTGCTTGGTCATTCTCAGAATTAACAACTGATAGCAAACAGTGTTGATTCTAGTATGTAGAATACGCTACAATAGTACAAGTATTTTGGCCCCTTTTGGAGGGAAAAACCTGTGCTGCTGTATGATCATTACAAGTTCTAACTCATAGTACAGGCCCCTAAAGGCTTCTTAACAAGGCAGGATAATCAAGCCAGTTTTGATCAATCCTTCCCTTCCAACAATCTTTAAGATAATCTTGTCTGATATTCCTGTCATGTGTGCTGTTTTAAGAGTGCTCTGGTCTTCTTGAAAGGACGTTGAGACCGCTCAGATTATAAATTAGGGCTTTCAAACATGTTGAGTTGTCTTGGTGTGATATGGAGGACAAACAATCATGCTGCTAGTTGAATGTAACGTTTCGCCAATTAGAAAGTCGGGGGATGGAGGCACATTGCACGCTCCTCCTCCTCCACCATTTTTCTTCAGTCTGAAGTCATGTTTGATCTCATAAGGTTTCCAAATGTTCGTGTGTGGAACCGGTTTTTGTGTAGTGTGCAGGTTATGTCACATGCTGCCCGTTGAAGGACCAAAACTGGTATATCCACGATTTTCATTGCCACGCATGTGGTCTCTCATGTTTGTTTAAAGTGTTGCCATGTGAATCAGGCCTAATCAGGATTTCCAATTGGTAAGAATAAAGTTGACAAATGATTGACTAAAATAGCATTTCTGACAAAGAAATCTATACCAATAACTGTTGGTACTAAGAGCACTTCTTTTAAACTCACCAACACAGTTACGTCCGTCGAAAGCCATCTCAAACCCTTCCCAGCACTGGCAGCGGTGGCTACCAGGAAGATTCAAACACTGGGAGTGATCGCCACATAAATCTGACCCTTCAGCACACTCGTCGATGTCTGCAGGGAAGGAGAGATAATGAAGAGTCTCACCAGAAGATCAGGAACACCTTGTCTAAAAACACCCAGAGCAACCCGCATATTTGGAAATAAAAGCTGTAATTAGATCGAAGATTGCTACTTTTAAGATGTTCTATGACATCTGGATTGTTGGTTGCAAAATGCATGTAAAATACCCTGAGGGATGAAATCATCACCAGAGATATGGAGGTCTAACTATGGAAACTTAGACCTTCTCAATGCTGTCAGCAGCAGAGACAGACCAACTGCTGACCTAATGACCAGATGCTCACCAGTCCATGAAATTCCTCCAGACTTGTGAAATAATTCTGATAGGAGAGGATGGATGACAGTACCGGTGGTTCCAGTCATCCCGTCTGTACTTGAACCGTTAACACTAGACGAGTAGATGCTGATGAAACACAGATGCATCGCCTTGAACTCTCTTCACCTCAAAGGGTGTGTGTAAAACCAGCATCATTAGGCAAGCAGACATCATTAGCACTCCACAACATAAAGGAACCTTTGCACTAATCGTGGACGTGAGTAGTCATGGTAAGGTTCTAAGGTTGTCAAGACACGTTAAAAACCTCCTTTCGTCATTCTCTGGTCTTCAGACAAGGGGAAAACAGCCTCAGATGAACAACAACACGTGCAACATGTGTTAATATTTATTTTTACAAAAAACTACACCAGCGTGTTGAAACTGAAACTGAAGAAAAACCGAGTACAACCAAGAATTCATCTTATGCAGCTCAGTGGCCTAGTGGTAGAGTGTCCTCCCTGAGACTGGGAGATCAGGGTTCGATTCCTGGTCGGGTCATACCAAAGACTTTGAAAAAAATGGGACCCAAGGCCTCCCTGCTTGACACTCAGCATTAAGGGTTGAACTGGGGGTTAAACCACCAAATGGTTCCCGAGCGCGGCTGCGTCTGCAGCTCAACGCTCCCCCAGGGGATGGGTCAAGTGTGGAGTACAAATTTCACACACACATCAGTGTGTGTGACAACTAATGGGACTTTAACTTTAACTTTATGCATGACTTGTTCTGTCTGAGATCCTCTGCAGGAATTTTGGACCAGTCGATCTTCACAACACTGCTTCAGTTTGTTGTTTGTACAACCTTCAGCACAGCCGGGTTAAGGCCTGGGGCCTCGTTTATCAAGCTTGCTTACGCACAAAACGGGGTCGGAAAACTGCGTAAGCAACTTTCCATGCAAACTTTGGGATTTATGAAAGAAAACTTTCATAAGTGCAGAGATGGTGCAGGGGATTCTCCAGGGAATCAAGAGGGTTGTGGACAGCCCTGAGCATTCTCTTCGCGGGACTGTCCGACAGCGGAGGGGTGTCTGCGGTTAGGGGCTTCTTCGGTTTCGCTGCAGCGCTGACCGCTGCTGGAGATCCTTCCTGCCAACAGCCATTGTAATATACAACAACTCTTTGATGACTTGATTATTATTATTATTATTATTCTGAGCTACTACAGCAATCAGTTTCCCTCTGGGATTAATAAAGTATTTTTGAATTTGAATTGAATTGAACTGTTGGCTACCGCTAATGTTTGCCTGCGTTTGTTTTTTTGGGATGAATTTCCAATGGCGAGGACAAAAAAAAAAGACCTTTTAAATTTACACTTCATAGTTTATTAGTTCTGAAAGAAATAAAGGTTTGTTTTCTCCCAAAATGAAATCTATAGAAACTCGTGGGTTCTGTCAAATCCATACCATACCATACCACCTTTATTTATATAGCACTTTAAAAACACAGCCATACGGCCGACCAAAGTGCTGAACAGTCACACAAATAACAGAGATAAAAACATAAAACTGCAATAAAATACAGTCAACAAATAAGAAACAAGCCAATAAAAAAGTACCGATAAAAACCTTACAATGGTTGGTAAAATAGGAGTAGTAAAAACCAAAATAACAGCTAACTGTTAAAAGCAAGGGTAAAATAGTGTGTCTTCAGTCTGGACTTAAAAACTGCCAAGGAGGATGCCAGTCGAACTACGGCTGGAAGTTCGTTCCACATTTTAGGACCGGCAACAGAGAAAGCTCTTCGTCCGCATGATCTATAACACGCTTTTGGTACCTCGAGGTGCAACTGGCTGGAGGACCTGAGTGTGCGACCGGGAGTATAAATCGCAAGAATATCAGAGAGGTACACGGGGCAAGACCAAAATCCACACCCTAAAAGGCTCTGGACCGGACTAAGTTCTGGTGACTATGGAGGCCGTTGGAGTTCAGTGAACTCACCATCATTGTGTTTAAGAAACCAGTTTGAGATGATCTGAGCTTTGTGACATTAGCGCATCATCTGACCCAACCCCAACCCCAACCCTAACCCTAACCCTAACCCTAAGAGACCCCATGAATAAATAAATAGTTACCGTAACAGTTGTGTCCATCTCCTGTATAACCAGTAGCACATTGACACATGAAGGCCTGGCCCTCCAGTGGGATGCACTGGGCTGTGGTGTCACAGTCGTGGTTCCCAACATAACAAGGATTGAGCAGTTCATCATCTGAACCAGCTAGAAAACACACAAGATGTTCATCAGAAAAAGGTGATATTAATCCTACAACAAACCTGTAATATTAACCCAGACCGGGATTATTCCCCAGTAACACGCCAATGATTACACCAGTGATTACAGGACGTTTTAACCAAACACACATGTAAAGTCTTTCTTCACAAATTCTTATGCCACAGCCTCCTCTTCAGAAGACGACTCCCCTTCATGTTCTCAATATACGAACCATATGGATGAGGTTAGACACACATGCAGGGGCGGATTTAGGACTGAAGAAGATCTGGGGCTTAACACACACATGCACGCACGCACGCGCGCGCACACACACACACGTGACACACACTGGTCAACATCATATATATTTGTCTTGTGCCACATAATTTTTAATCTGAAGCTACATATTAAGCATATTCAGGGCAGAGTATTGTTCCTGTTAGTGTTTATTGTGAGATGATAGTAAATATTCCCTTTCTTTCTCCAACAACTTTACCTGATAGTAAGCTAACTTTAGGCAAACCAGCAGCACAACAAATATTTTCAAATAAGACTCACAAACCTGATCCAACACCAGTATCATCAAAGCTGGGGTTCTGTCGTTGTACTTTTGGTCTAAAAAACGTCCTTATGTCCATCTTCACACATGCGTTTCAGGCAGAGACTATAGAAGAAGCCGGCTGCTGAAGGGCTTCTTCTTCAGTGGTGGAGGCTCGGGCAGGCTGTATACAAACTACTGCCAGCTGCTCCCTCTCTGTTGGACTTTGGTACTGCATGTTACTTCCACGTTTTAGATCCGGGGCTTTTCACAAAACATTCTGGGCTTCAGCCCAAGTTGCCGGGACTACTCCGCCCCTGCACACATGTATGGGACAGGAGAGCGGGGACAATGCATAGGCAGATGAATGTCTCATTCCATCTCGTGGCTCAGACAGAAAGAGAAACCTCAGACCGAACAGGGAACCCTGGGAAATCACTGGGAAAACACGTGAAGGCGACACTAAGAGCCAAATAAACTGGTGTTGTTTCTGTGGGGTTCACTTTCCCACACATGATCTGCAGGACAAGTTGCCAGTTTTTGGTGAGCGCCAAAACCAAACTATTGTCATACATGTGCTTTAAATGACGTGTAAGACTTGCTCTTTAGAGTTAGAGCATTATTAGAAAAAACCGACAGCTACAACGTCTCTCAACGTAAACAAAACTCACAGCTTACTCTCATCTCCCGAGGCCAGAGAGCAATTTTGGCTCATTACCAGAGAGACTCTTCAAAGTGTAATGTGGCCAGGAAGGAGGGTAGATGAGAGGCTGAGATGCACATGGACTGGAGAAAAAGGGCTGGGGGATAATTAGAGACAGAAAAGGAGAGGAGTGAAGAACACACACACACACACACACACACACACGCGCACACACACACAAACCTCACACATGATGCACCGCACGCCATCAAAGTGATGACTGCAGTTTCCCACCTGTTGCTTTTTTAGTTTTTAATGTAGCTCCGGCTCATCCAGGGACGAACACCGGAGCAGCTGAAGGTGTGATCCAAAAATGCAACTGTCATCGCTGACTTTTACTCGAGCTCATGCTGCAAACGTCTGAAATGCGTCACAGCGGGGGTGTAGCAGACAGATGTGGGCAATCCAGACACCAAATGTTTCAAGGAGCATTCCAACTCCAAACCGGAAAAAGATGCAACAGTAGAAGTAAAGTCAATTTCTTTAAGTTTCTAACTATCTAGGGCTTGTATGTTTGCATTATATCGTTTTAATGATTTCAGCACAGACTCATTAAACGAACGAATGTGAGTTTCTGTGGGAGATCGTAATGTAGGGAGACCGTTTATCTTGACAGATCTCCCAAACAGACCATTGTGGCTTAACAGCATCGAGGTGAATCAGAGTTTTACAATATGAGGATTTATAAACACCAGCTGGCGATTTTAAAAGAGATAGTGATGTTTAGAAACCTTGTTTCCAACATTGTTTATAAACTCAGTTTAAAACAGTGACTGTAAAAGCTGCTCTACCTTTAGGAGTACAAAGACTTGTCACTGGGGTGGTACCTAGGGTTGGGAATTGTTTGAATTTGAATGATTCCCGTTCCGATTCCAGTTCCTCCTTTCAATTCCGGTTCCTAGCGACTCTCGATTCGGCTTTTTTCAAGAGGGAGGGTCAAAAAACTTTACGTTTTACACAAGCTATCTAACCTAAGGTCGTCCTTGATGAAATTTTCTGAACTTCTCCATGAATTTTATTCTATGAAACCTATAAAGCGAAGTTACGCTTTAGAACGCCTCCACACATTTTCCGTGATTCTTACGGGAGATTCTTCTTCATTGCTATTTGGTGGCTTCTTCGTCTGGTCAGCAGCTTGGTGTCAAAATCAGGAATCGGAAATAAAACGTTCGAATGATTATGTAAAAAAATAGAAAATTTGTCCCCGTTCCAACTGATACTTGATGCCTAACCATAGTGGTACTCTTGGGGTACCAGTCTTGTATCCTAACTGTGGGTACTTGTTGTAGTTTTGTAACATAGAGGTCAGTCTAGAACCACTTGGATAGCCCTGTACCTTACACAACCAAACAAAGAGACCTTACAAAGGTACAAAAATTACTTCTACCAATGTTAACTTATCTCCATACTAAACTTTGCGAAGACATCAGCATATCGGGACAGCTTCGGCAGTGAGTGATGTCACTGATCAGTGCTAAAACACGTCCACGGACATTATTAACATTAAAAGTTTTATTCTGTCCAAGTACATTACAATTCAGTCCATTCGGGGGTGAGAGAGTGGTTGTAGGATATAAAAAGTGGTGTTCAATGACCAGAAGAAGAGTTGTTTATTACGGTGCTCTGTGAGACGATGAAGCACCATTGTGGGGGATTTCTAATACTCTTTTTGGCATTGGGAGATTAGAAAGTGCAATTTTAAAGCAACATCAACACTGTTTATTTTGCTTCCAACTCTTCCAGTTTTAAATATGCCAATGATGTCATGTCCTATCTAGTTACAACCAATCAGCATGAGTTCACCACAAGTCGCACTCAGCAGCTCTACTGGGACATTCCGAGTACCGACCCCTGTGCAGGTTTTTGAAATGGCTCGGAAAGCGGTCCTTTTGGCCGGCCCCGGTGAAGTGGAGACATGCATGTGCCGCAAAGTTCTGGTAAAATTACCCTGAAGTTACGACAGTAAAAACGGCCCTATTATGACACCTGAGACAGCAGAACACCGTTTACATGTTTTCATTCTTTATTAAATTATCATGAAAGGGATTTGAATGCATAACCTTCCAAGCACTTTTGTCTACACAACTTTTATTTCACCAGACGTATCATTTTAAAATGCTAATTTCATATTTATTTTTAATGATACCACAATATCCTAACCTAGAAATGTACACACACTGTACCAGTAGCATAAGATTTTGCTCTGCTGGTCGGTCTGGCAGGTCTACCATTGACATGAACAATTTTAGGTCTGGCCACTCTCAACACTCTATGTCTGTAGATGCATTGGGCAGGCTTAGCATCAGAGCAACATGGAGAAAAACTACAAAAATGGCAACGGCACAGGAATGTTGCCTGTTTGAAATGGCTTTTGCATCAACTTTGGTCAATTTCTACAGAGCTTTCTTCAGCTGAATGAAGATAAGACTGAGATCCTCATCTGTGCCCCAGACAAGCTGGTTCCCAAAGTCAGAGACTCTCTTGGTCAGCTTGCTTCTCACACCAAACCTTCTGTCAGGAATCTTGGCGTGACCTTTGACCCAGCTCTCACCCTGGATTCTCATGTCAGTTCTCTTGTTCGCTCTTCCTTCTTCCATCTCAGGAACATTGCTAAGCTGAGTCCCATTCTGTCCCGCTCTGAACTTGAGACAGTTCTCCACACCTTCATCTCCTCACGCTTAGACTACTGTAACTCTCTTTTCACGTGTCTGAGCAGAACCTCCCTGAACCGTCTACAGGTGGTTCAGAATGCCTGTGCTCGGCTTCTGACCAAGTCCTCCAAACACACCCACATCACCCCGCTTCTCCTCCAGCTTCACTGGCTGCCAGCCAACTTCAGGGTTCATTTCAAGATCCTGGTTCTGGTCTATAGGGCCTTACATGGACAAGCACCATCTTACATTGGTGATCTTCTTAGTCCCTACACCCCCAGCAGGTCCCTGAGGTCCAGTGATCAAAGCCTACTGGTTGTGCAGCACCAGGCTAAAGACCAAATGTGACAGATCATTTGCTGCTGTGGCTCCCAGACTCTGGAACTCTCTCCCCCTGAGCCTGAGATCAGTGGACTCAGTGGTCTCCTTTAAAAAGCAGCTGAAGACTCACTTGTTCAAGCTGACTTTTGTATGACCTTCTTCACCACTCTCTCTTTATTCTGCTCTCCCCACCTATTCCACCTTCCTCAGGATCCACTGATTTCCCTCTTTCCTGTTCACTCTCTCTCTCTCTCTTTTTACATTTTTTTATCACAATTGTCTATTTTTGCTCATTTTAAATATATTTTTAAACAATTTTCTAAATACTTTCTTTATATTTTTACATTTTTTGTTTTTGTGAAGCGCCTCGTGATTTTTATCTTGAGAGGCGCTATAGAAATTATACTTTCTTCTTTTTCTTTAGACTTGAGCTTTTATTTGAGACATGAGCAGATGGAGGTATTTAAGGCTTTTATTCTGAAAAAGAATGTTTCTTCTTCTTCAATGGTACAAACCAGTTGACAGATTTTTGTAGTGATGAATTAATGACTTTGTAGTTCTGATTGATCCCAGCGTTGTTCAGCGACAGCTTAAACGACAACGCTAAAAGCGAGCTCCGTCTGGGTCGGACTAAATATCCTTAAATTCTTGTAATTAGATAAAGGTCAGAATCACTTACCAACTCCTGCCTAGATCATACCAAACAGCAACTTTCCAAAGGTTGATGCAATTTCCATGTTTTGATTACATGTATTAAAATATAATTTCAAATATGGACTGATGGTTTTAAATTGTAGTTAAAAGTCATTATGAATGGTTTTATTAAAGCTGAATCCTTTCAAACACTGTGAATGGTTTGCTACTGCTGCATTGTGGGAAACGTAGGATGTTGTGCTTTTAAAGTCCCCTCTGACAGAGTGAACATGTACTCTCATACATTTATTTTGTTTGTGTTATCGCTGTTCCATCACCCCACTGCCTCAAGCTCGTCTGCAGCCACTGATTCTCATGACCTCA